TGAAGTGGGAGAGGCATTATGAGAGATGGAATAGAAATTCCTAAGCTTTCACTTGTATTTTTTAGCCAATATCTACACCACTCCATAATTTTTCTCCAAGTAAGAAAAGAGGCTAATTGCAAAATGTAAAATAAGCAAATATTTATTTTCATTTATTTTCTCATTTTTGTCCTTAATTTTCCTTTTAAGTACTGTGACTACTGCAGCTTCTAATACAGAGTAAAGGAAACTTTTACATTCGTGGGTCGGTTATCCTTCATTTTTTGAGCCTGTCTTTTCAACTTCTTCCTTTTATTACTTGCTTTTTTGAAAGGCTGAGGGACTAGGCCAGGTCTCAGTGTTACCAGCCTTACTTAAGGCAGTTTCAAGACAGTGAAAACTCCCTTTTGTAATACCTATTATTCTGTGTATTTTAAAGGTTTTCTTTTCTTTTTTTTTTCCCACCCCACCCCACCCTTAAAGGTTTTATTTTCAACAGGATTATTCTAAATGCTTGCTAATTATTAAAAGCCAGTAGTAGCAGTTTGACATTTCTGGCTGGAAACATTTAAGTAGCAAAGTGAATGACTTGGAAGTTCACCAAGAAGAGAGGAAAAAATATCAGCAGCTATTGTGACCTGTTTACTTTTGTACAAAATAATATGACATAGCCTTGCTTGAAAAACACTTCTCATTTAGGTAAGGGAGGAGCTGTATTCAGTCATTCTGGGCTTAGAGGTCCAGCCACGTGACCTTGAAGTCTGACATTTGTTATCTTCCTTGTAAAAGGCAATTTGTATTTTATTTTTTTCCTGAAATTTAAACTACCCATTTGTTCTATTCCCTGGGGTTCTTAGAAGTGTTTTTTATTTTCTCCCGGACTCTGAGGCAGTTAAACACCAAGGGTAGGCAATTCTTTGCTTGCATATTAGATATATTATCCTCTGCCTTGCTCTGTGCATTGTCGGTAGCCTAAGGCCACAAAGGTTGCAGATCAGGTAGCAGTTATCATACTGAGATGGCTTTCATTATACTTTGTTTAGCACCAGCAGTAGCCATCTGAGTTCTTTATCAAGAAAATAGTTTAATTTTTTTCTTAACCTTATTGGATTTTCCTTTTTCCCTGCTATATTATTTAATATTTTAAGTACTTTATTTAATGTTTTCTTTAGTACCTCATTTATTGAGCACCTTAGGTGGCTTGTATAGGATAATTTAGGCAATGAGTAAAGTAGAATGAAAACTTATTCTTGCTTGTTGGGCTTAGAATATCTGACTCATATTGACTTGTAACTGAGGTACCTATTGGCTTAACCATGATGAAGTCTGTTTACAAGATATACAAGTACATCCCAGTGATGAAGTCTCAGCTTATAAACCTAGAATTTATAGTTTTCAAAAGGGTACTAAGAAGTAGAAACCATGGTGATAAAATATTTCACCAGAGAATGGCGACCTTACTCCCCCCAGGAAAATTTCTCAATCTGTGAGTTAGCTCTGGCCAAAAGAAGCCAGTACAAATAACAAAGTCCAAATGGAATTTTACTTGAAGTCCCTACATGTAATCATAGTGTGGGTTTTTAGCCAAGCCAATTTTTGCAGCAGTTTTCATAACAAGTTTGTCTAAAGGTGTTTACTCAGAATTAAATGATTTCCCTGTTATTTTTTGGAGGAGAGATGCAGGTAGAGGGGTTGGCTGTTGCTGCTTCCTCCGCCAGCTTGGAAAGAATCTTTCTTGGCCATTCATATTGGCCCATAGTTTATTTACACATAGAGTCCACACACGATTGTTATGTATTGAGCATTGTGTTAGGGTATCAGGGTAGAGATGTAAAAGGAGTACACCATCTAGAGATGACAACTGAAATAAACAGGTAATTCTAATATTTTGTTCTATGGGGCACAAGAAGATGCCCTTAGGCCTCTCTGAGGGGTGGCGTGGGCATGGTAGGGAGTGTGCTCCAGGAGAGGCATGTATGGGTGTCATGGATAACCAGCAGCAAGGAAGATTAACAGCTACAAATGCTGCTTTTCTGGAGAGAGAGCTCCTAAAATTGTCCAGCCACAGAAAAGCTTTTCTATCTTTAGGAAATTCTGGTTCTAAAGTGATCTTTCATTGATCTTGCAAACGATAAGTGCAAGTTGGAGGAAATCCCCTTGCTCATCCATGCTTGTTGTATGTGACAGGTAAGCCCGTGCCACATCACTGAGATCTGGATGAGGTACTTAAGTTCTCTGAGCGTATAGCATCACCATTAAATGGGATTAGTAACGTTGATCTCACTGGGTTAGTGGGAGGCTTAAGTGAGATCACTTGTGTGGTTCATTTCCCCAGCCCCACCCTCTTTTTATTAGTAAATCTTCATTGCGTGAATTGTTTTCATCTTAACAAATATACAGCATCGACTCCTCACCTTCTGTTATCTTTCAGTTGAGGTCAGTTCCTCTTTCTAGCGTTCCCACTCTAAGATTCCATGATTGTCGTCAGGCAAGACCGTATGATGCTTTAGTACTTTATTCATTCATCCAACTTAACTCTGCACCTCCCTCTTTTGGGTGTGGTTTTTGTTCTGGTCCACATCACCCTGACCTGGTGGTTGTCAGGAGGGAATGTGATATGGTCTCATGTCTTTCTCAGTGGCAGCTCCTTCCCTGCATTAGGGATGCAAGCATGTCAGTGGCACTCAGCTGTTTAGCTTTTCTGTTACTGAGCTTCTTGGTATCCTCTCTCTTACTCTTCTCCTTTATGGGATGTCCCCTTTCTTTTCTTTCTTTCTTTTTTAAAGGCTTTCTGTAATGCCTTGTTTATATGGTGAAAGAGCCTTTAAAAAGTAGACAGAATTAGTTTGCTCTGACTCTTTTACCATTTAATTTGGGAGCATCCAAAAACTCTAGTATAGTGGTTATTAATCCTGGCTTCAATTTGGAATCACCCGGGGACTTAAAAAGTATCCTGGACCTCACCAAGACATTGTATACCAGAAATTTCTAGGGGGATGACTCAGGCATCAGGATGCTTTAAAAAGCTCTCCATGGGGGATGGTCATGCTGGAGACTCAGACTTGTGGGGGGAGGGGGGAAAAGGCTTTTATTGAAACCTTAAAATCTGTACCCCCATAATATGCCAAAATAAAATAAATAAATAAATAAATAATTCATACCAAAAAAAAGCTCTCCAGGTGATTCCAATGTACAGCCAATGTTGGAAACCAAGGTTTAGGCTTAAACTTTAAAGGGGAAGTTGTACAATTTTGCTCATTCTTTTTCTGACTCATTTTCTACTTTAAAAACTACACAGGGTCACATGTATTAGCAACATGTGTATCTTCAAAACAGGCATGTGATTGGTAACTGTTGATTGGACCCTAATGTTTCTGATGGTTTGGAAGGGCTCTGCTAGATGGTTTTAGGGATATAGGTGATAGAGCGAGAGAGAGTGTGGATGGAAGTGTATGCATCTATTGTGATTACCAGAGAAACAAAAACTAAAATGCTTTGCTGCTTCTGCTATCAGATCATGTTCTTATAGCCAGTGAAGTGGTAGTATACATGTGCCTAGGGTGTGGCCTGCATTTTGCATACGTTTAGCTCTTTCAATTCACATGTTAACTCTGGGATGTAGTTATTATTGTGTCCATTTTACAGATGAAAAATTGAGACTCAAAAATAACGCTGGTAGCTGCATAGCTGGTAATTGGCAGAGGTGGAAGTCAGACTCAGGCTCTGATGCTGGCACTCATAGTTTCTCCCTGGTGCCATGTTGGCCTCTTTCCATTTTGATGAGAATATAATTCTATGGGGCAAGGGACATTTACAGTGTGTGAGAGTCTTATTTATTAATTTTGCAAATTCCAAGATCTCTTTTTATTCAATGTCTTTTCTCAAACAGCTCACAGGACTTTTAAAGTTTAAGTGCCTACTCCCCACCATATCACCTTCTGGAGAAGAGGCAGGCATTAACTTTATGTTAATATGCAGGACAGATGTGCATTGGGGGTAAATGTTACACACTGCACTCCAGGTTTGTGGAAATACATACTAAGCAGAGTGCTTTTCTTGGTGAGTGAAGTTGGTCTGTTGACTTCGTCAAACCCTATTGAGTTTTTCTCCCAGGGTGGAGGTGGCTTAACTTTGCTTCACCCACACGTCTCTCCTGATTCCCCAGTGACCGGAGGAAGACACTGCAGAGGCAGTTGTTTGTGCTCAAAAATCCTGTATGACCACGGAACTAAATGAAGCTAAGAGCTGCCCAGGATTATGTGGGCCTTAAAGAATGTGGCTCTCACCCTAGACGAAGGACAGCTGAGTGGCTTCTGATGCAACTGAAATGGCGAATTGGGTGTATTGAAACTAGTTCTTTAATATAGTAAAATAACCTATCCCATTTCAGAAACATTTGACATCTTTAGAACATTAATGTTATAATCCATCTTACCAGTAACAGTTTCTTTTCTGTGACAGTAAAAGCCATTGACTTTTTGGTCTCTTTTTATTGAAAAGAGATGCTGTGAATAGCTGGCACACGCTGCTTGGGAGAAGTGAATGCAGTATACAGGGTGGCTCACTTGGACACCCTCTGCAGTAACTGAGCTTTTGTAAGTTCTGAGTAAAAAGTGTTAACCAGCATAGCTTCTCTGGAAATCATCCTCTTCGTATTGTTTGGACATTCACTCTCGAGCATGTATGGCTCTTTTGGGGGCCTTTCTGTCTGGGGCTTCCTGTGTGGAGCTCAGTGGCTCTCTCTAGAGCAGGTGCTGAGCAAATTGTCAGGCTACAAACTGTCTTGCTGTTCTTCAGAGTGAGTTTCTGAGCAGGTTGGTGTTGATTTGTCAAGGATTTCGGAGACTTGACTGTAAATTTCAGGCAATGGCATATATTGTGGTATTTCTTTGACATAGGAAATTTAAGAAGAGTTTGGGCAGATGGTATACATACTGCAAAATAACATACCCTGTGACTGTGAATTAAGGGTTTGTTTGTACTGACTCTCCTGTGCTGTTTTTCTCTTTATCTTCACGTAGAAACCTCATGTCCTGACCACGGGGGCTGGTAACCCAATAGGAAACAAACTGAACATTATGACAGCAGGGCCCCGTGGGCCCCTTCTCGTTCAGGATGTGGTTTTCACTGATGAAATGGCTCACTTTGACCGAGAGAGAATTCCCGAGAGAGTGGTACATGCTAAAGGAGCAGGTGAGAGCTATGTTCATTTGTTGTAAAAGGCTCGTTTCATAGCACCTAGGTCAAAAATCACTTCCCAAAGGGTTGGAGGACCTTTAATAGAAATGCCAAATCTCCATTCTGGGAGGAAGGAAACATGTCCATCAGTAGGGGAATTAGTAATTAAATGATGGTTATTTCCTTGAACATTGAACATTAAATATAAAATAGTTTATTGTAAAAATGGTTGTCTTCTATTTCTTCTATCATGCATTTGATTGAAGGAATAAAAATACAGTAAGTCCACACCTAATGATGTTGATAGGTTCTCAGAAACTGTAACTTTAAGCAAAATGACATATAACAAAACCAATTTTATCATAGGCTAATTGACATAAACAAGAGTTAAATTTCTAAAGCATATTTCTGGTCACAAAAACATCATCAAACTTCTAAATAAAGACCAAACTAATTCTTATATTAAACATTGAGATAAATGTGAGCTATATATACATTTAAGAAAGAGTAATAAAAAACAAATAAGGTAATTATTTACCCATTTATTCGAGTTCAGGGTCACAGGTGACCAGAACCTATCCCTGCAGCTCAGGTAGGAACCAACCCTGGCCAGGACTCCTTTCCTTCCAAGAGTGGACTCACACACACACACACACACACACACACAGTCACTCAATTAGACTGGTACCATTTAACCTAATGTACACATCTTTGGGTTGTGGGAGTCCTGGGAGAAAAACCCATGCAGACATGGAAAGAACATGCAAACTGCACACAGACTCGGTCCAGCCAAGAACCAAGTTTTTGTTCCCATCAATGTTATAACAAAAAGTGACGTTGAACAAAACAAGGTTTCTCCAGGACTTGCTGCTGTACAGAAATAGACATAGACACATGCACTGTAATTGAAACTAAGTTGAAATGGTGCACTTATTGGATAAATACTGGAATAAAGTGCAAAATTGAGGATAGTTGTATTATAGTGGTGGGTTTGTGGGGATTTTTTCTTCCCTTTTGTCTAAAACTTCTGTGAAACTTTTCTATTGTTTTTATAACAGACACAAAAGATGGAGGTAATATTTAAAAGAAAGCTAAAAACTCATTTTTTTAGCTCCATATGAAAGAAGAAAAATTTTTCTCTTAGCTTGCTTACTTGGACTTCCAGTTAGAATTTCTGAATTTCTTAATCTCTTCTTGGATAAGATTTCTTCCCAGCTTCTCCAGCTTTTTTTTGCATGTCTTTTCCATCATGACTTGATGTGCTGTTCAGTTTGCTTGGCTCTGTGGCATCCTTGTTGCTTTGTTAAGTGTTGAAACTATTCTTTCTTTCCCCGTATTTTCTTTTCTTCCTGTTTGTTCTCTCTAGGTCCTGCCTGCACTTCAAGGCCCTCAGAGGCCCTGTATCCTTGGGTCAACCTTAAGTGCTCTCAGCCCCACTCACCTCTTCCTCTTGGCTTCAGTGTGGTGCTTAGCTCAGCACTGAATAATATATAATAGGGTTTTGCCTTGCACTCTTGTAATTTTGTGTTTGGACATTTCCCCTTCCCCCATCATGTTGGAAGCTCCCAAAAGGCTGGTGCTAAACCATTGATTTATCTTGTCCCCCAGATGCCTGATAAGGGCCTGATGATCTGAGCAGTGGTCTCATGGTGAGGATTTCTGTGTCTTTCTCATTAGGAGCCTTTGGCTACTTTGAGGTCACGCATGACATTACCAGATATTCCAAGGCAAAGGTGTTTGAGAGTATTGGAAAGAGAACTCCCATTGCAGTTCGATTCTCCACTGTTGGTAAGTCAGTCTGTTGGCATGACTAGAAATGCTAACCTGCATCTTATCTGAGACATTTATAACTTCACTTCAAGAAAAACTTACTAGAAAATAGGAAACAAGTACTTCTCCAAATTACAGCAAGGTTTTATAGTTGAAAAAATATTTGGAGATATATGGGAAGTTACTTACATTTCTGTTTGTTGAAGTCTTAAGAAATCAGACTTATGCAGACCTGCAATTCTGTGATATTTGGAAAGAAATTTCTTATAAGTGGTTGCCTGTAACGGAAGTATAGAGTGGGGATCTTATTCAATAACCACGATAACAGCTGCCCTTTACTGAGGGTTAACTCTATGCCAACCACGGTTTGGTGCTTTATAGATATTATCTCTAATCTGTAGATCTCCTTTGCAGGGTCAGATTATTTCCATTTCAGAGAGGTTAAGTGATTTTTCACACATTGCATAGCTAGTGTGAATTCTATCTTACTACATCTCAACACACCACAAGGCATGATTAATTTTGTTTCTGTTTTAGTCTCTGTTTACTTTGAAAATACTCTGAAATACAAAAATAAAGAACTAAATCATTTTCTTAATATTAACCTCATCATTTTGACAACTCATTTTCTTTTTGTTTACTACCTTAATCTTCAGAATTATTCTCTTCCTTATTTTAATTAAAATTGTAATTACCTGTTTGAACAAAGTTAACTTATGTTAAATAGATAATCTCTCAGCTGTTATTACATATACTCTCTTATGACTCTCAATTCTTTTGTTTGACTTGTAGACTAAATGAGTTGGTGGGTAGTAGAAGGATAATAATAACCTGGGCACTTAAATATCCATTTACTTCTAGGAAGAGGATGGGAAAGGGTAGATCCTGAAGTGTCTTTATGACTTGAGGCTTATTGGATGCAAAGCACTTTGGTTTATGCTTCATTTTTCCATTTGCATATTATAGCTGGAGAATCGGGCTCAGCTGACACAGTCCGTGATCCTCGTGGGTTTGCAGTGAAATTTTACACAGAAGACGGTAACTGGGATCTTGTTGGAAATAATACCCCCATTTTCTTCATCAGGGATGCCATCTTGGTAGGTGATAGAGTACTTTGCACTCTACAAATGGTTGTTGATTTAACTTGATTTCAGATTGGCATTTGAGAAGTCCTTAGAAAGGCAGAAAGAAGAGAATTTGGGTTGTCTGGATTGCCTTTTAAGACCTTTTTTTCTGTATTTAGTAAGATCAAGTAACAACAGTCACTACTGGTCTTAGATTTCAAGATTCATTGACTTAATGGGAATCAAGTCCAGTTTTCCTTGCAGAGCGTTGAAGATTAGTAAAAAGCGGGACTTTGCCCTAAAACAAGTAAAGGATGTCTCTACATGCTCTGGGTCAGCAGGAGGTGTGTGTTTGTGTGAGGGGTGGTACGTTTTTTTTGTGCTTAAAGAGATATTATACCTTTGAGTATATTTGAAATACTTCAGGCTATCTTAGCTAGTAATTATATATGTCGAGTAAATTTTATTTTATGGTTTAGCAGTTTAAAATTCTAGGGTTGTGTTCAGAATTATAATCCACAATAGGAATAGGAATAGGCTATGTATAATGTAAAACACCAAAATTCCTATAAACTTGGTTTTTAGATTTTTTTTTCTCTATTTTTCCATTTAGTTCCCGTCCTTTATCCACAGCCAAAAGAGAAATCCTCAGACACACCTGAAGGATCCGGACATGGTCTGGGACTTCTGGAGCTTACGCCCGGAGTCTCTGCATCAGGTGGGAGCGCTTTTTCTCCCTATATTATAATACATCACCCGGGGCAGAACCTTTAATTTTGCCTCCTGTTGTGTTTCTCCACTTTGGGATATTTTATTGGAATTGGCTTCTGACTTTCATTTTTGGAAGCTTTCTCCAATTTCTTTATCATGAAGAGTTTTATAATGACTGATTTTGTTAATTGTCCCCCATTCATAGGCCTTAAGTGAAGACAATAGATAGCTATAAGCATTATCAATTAATATTTAGCCATATCAAGGATGAATTTCTCTAGTGTGAGGTAAAACTCTATAGTAGGAAATGAGGGGACAAGAGTACCAAATCTGCTATTAAGATAAATTTGGAATAACAAGTTAGACTAGTTTTCAGATTCTTTTTTAGCTTTCCTTTGTAGAGTTTTGAGTCATGCTGTTAATGATTTATATATCATTGTGCTTTAAAATTTATCTGTTTATTATTATCTCCAAATGAAATAATGATAACCCTTCCCATGGGAAATTGGCGAGTATGTTTCATGGCATTAAGGGGTTTTCTGGAGACTTGGGAATGTCTTAAAAATCTAGGATGTTTTGATTTAAACTGAAAAATGTAGGCGTTGTATTTCTGTCCCTTAGGTTTCTTTCCTGTTCAGCGACCGGGGGATTCCAGACGGACACCGCCACATGAATGGATACGGGTCGCATACTTTCAAGCTGGTGAATGCAAATAAAGAGGCAGTCTATTGCAAATTCCATTACAAGGTACATGTTGCGGTTGAGTCAGAGCGCATAAGGCCTGTGCCGCACACCCCTCCTTATTTCTCCTGAAGGATTGAGCAAAGATTAAGGATTCTCCCACCTTTCCTTCACATTTACCCCCAAGGATGGAAGGTTTTGATCTAGTTGATCAGCACCATGAGTGTTTTTTTGGCAACCTCTACAGTGGATAAATTCACACTTCTGATAAAAAAAAAACTGTCAGGAGGCTGAGGCAGGAGGATCACTTGCCTTGGAGTTTGAGGTCACAGTGAGCCATGATCATGTCATTGCCCTCTATGCCCAGGCAACAAAGCAAGACCCTATCTCAGAAAAAAAAAACAAAACAAAACTGTATGATCTCTCTTTGGTCTCTTTTTTTCCATGGATATGATTCAGGAATCTCTTTGGTCTCTTTACATGTTTACATGTGGCCAGAGGTAAAAGCACATGGCTGCCGTCAATAATTCAACAGTTTAAGTTTTCTTCTACTTTTGGACCCCGTGAGCATCACCATAAATATTTAGAAAAAAAACTCCTTTTGTGCTGGCTCTCTGGTTTAATGTTTCTGGTGCTGGCAGGTTCACACTGAGGTTGCACCTTTCTTCCTGGAGTGGGAGTGTCTAAGGTTTTGGGTTGGGCCCAAAGGTAAAAAGATAATACAGCCTCAAGGCTACAGGAAATTTCTGTCCAGTTTGGCTTAGCTTTTCTAGGGTTCTGTGCTGAAGTTTGGGGTCAACCCTAGAAAACAGTCAAGTGTTATGATGCTTTGCCTTTCTTAGCCCTGAGTCATTGTCCTCAGCATAGATTTCTTTTGGGGTCTGGAAGGGGACTAAGGCAGATTGTAGCATATGCCAACCTCACTATCACTTCCAAAATCTGATACTATTTTTCCAGAAACATCTCTCCTACCTTTTTAAGTCATCCATCCATTTACTTAGCATTTATTGAGATTGAACAAGGCAAATAAGTAAAATTAATTATATATATCAGAAAACATAATTATAGTGGGTTTTTTTTTTTCATTGCATTCATATAGTTAGATCAAATCAGTTACCTCTGGGGAAGCTTTTTAGAACCTCTTAATCAACTGAAATGTTTTAAAGGGCCCTCTTGATATGATTTTGGCACATTTATTATAAGCAATATTACCGGTGATCGCCATGGTGTTAGAGATATTCCCAGAGAACTGCAGAAGGTTAGTTAAAAACAGAAGCCTGAGAACTTGTGTTTCCAAGTAGTACTGCTAAAATAAGCAGAAAAATGTGGGCTCATGGCAAACACAGTCTCCCTGTAAAGACGTCCAAAATCCCTGATTTCTTCTATTGTAATCTTTATTTGAACAACTAACATGGATATGTCAAACAGGAACTCTGTTACCTCTCTTTATATTTATGACTTGGATCTATACTCTTTGACAAGGAACAATTTTAAGAAACAGTTGACAAATTGGCTTGTAATTGGCGAAAGGAGCGTGTTGTCACTCAGAGCAAGACTAAATGACTGTATCTGGGGCAGCCAGCCTAGTCCGTAGCTTTGGAGTTAGGCCAACCTGAACTTAAGTCTTCGTTTCCTAGATAGCTGTGGCCTTGGGCATAGTATAAATGTCCTTTGAACTCCAGTTCTTTTCACTGTAATGTTGGGGTACTTCCATGAGCTGTTCATAGTTCCAGAAAGATTGGATTGCTTATGGGCCTGTTTATCTGAGGGCCCTAAAGTAGCCTGAGATCTACCTGGAATCATCAGTCAAGATTATTCTGACCTATGATTATTCTTTTATAAATCCAAATGGCTTCCATTAATATTTCAATATTTTGTACAGTTTAATGTAATAGCTCTTCAGGTGATCCGCAGACAGTGACCTTCATTTTTTTATCCTGAAGGTGGCTTTGCTTGTGGTCCGATGGTAAGAAGAGTTCAAACCCTGCCACAGACTAGAGAGAGTTGGGATTTCTGTGGTAGAAATAGACCAGCCTTCAGAGTTGATTTTTCTTAGGAGATCTCTCCATGTCACTTGGCTGGTTGGGGGTCTTTCAGAATAAGGTAGACATCCATTGAAGAGCAATATGGCATGGTAAGAGGAGCACTTGTGAAACTGACATAACTTCTTTGGATTTTAATGGCTTGTTCAGAAAGTTAGAATACTAATTTTATCTGCTTATTGTCAGAGAACTGGTTCAGAGTAGCTGTACAGAAGTTCTTTAAGCTCTATGAACCATGCTTCTGTGATTTCTTAAAGGCAAGAGGTGATTGTGAAGGGATTGTAGCTGAGCACAATTTCAGTAATTGATTTGAGTTATTAATAAAATGGGAATTGAAAATTACTTTATGAAGAAAAGGGAATTCCTTTAATATTATTGATCTTCTGCTTATTTTTAAAATATGTTTTGATTTTTTTTCGGATTCCAAAAATAACATGAGTAAAAAATTTAAATAATACAGAATATGTAAAGGGAAAATGAAATGTGTAGGCAGAATTCTCTTGAAATTTAAAGAATCAAGATAATCAAGTAGAAAGTTCATTAGTATCAGATTTGAATCACTGAAGTACTGTTGTAAGAAATTTCAGTCTTTGAGTAACACTACCCAAAGACTGAAATCATAATCCTTCAATGAATTACCGATTAAATTTTGATAACTTTGCCAGTAAATTTCAGTTTGAGTTGTTTTTTTTTTTGTTTTTTTTTTTAAGACAGAGTCTCACTCTGTTGCCCGGGCTAGAGTGCCTTGTCATCAGCCTAGCTCACAGCAACCTCAAACTCCTGGGCTCAAGCGATCCTCCTGCCTCAGCCTCCTGAGTAGCCGGGACTACAGGCATGCGCCACCATGCCCGGCTAATTTTTTCTATATATATTTTTAGTTGTTTTGGCTAATTTCCTTCTATTTTTAGTAGAGACAGGATCTTGCTCTTATTCAGGCCGGTCTTGAACTTCTGAGCTCAAACGATCCTCCCACCTCGGCCCCTCAGAATGCTAGGATTACAGGCGTGAGCCACCATGCCTGGCCCCATTTGATTTTCCTTTCTTCATTTTGTAGACTGACCAAGGCATCAAAAACCTTTCTGTTGAAGATGCAGCCAGACTTTCCCAGGAAGATCCTGACTATGGCCTCCGGGATCTTTTCAATGCCATTGCCACAGAAAACTACCCCTCCTGGACTTTGTACATCCAGGTCATGACATTTAATCAGGCAGAAGCTTGTCCATTTAATCCATTTGATGTCACCAAGGTGAGTCCATTAACAACTATATTGTTTTCTTTTTTAAGTTTCTTCTTATCTAATTAAAAAAAATTTCCAGTCAAGCATTCACAATGGTGGGGCAGTCATATACACAGTACAGTGGTGCCACTTCAGAGCTTCCTGGCCTGTGAATGAGCAATCACCAGCATCTCACTTCCATGTTCCTGTTTGTAAGTTTATTGAATGCATATAAGTGACTTCATATGTTATTAGTGGGGAACAAATTTTGAAACTCTGATGATGTACTTTTGCCTGGGAAAGTGTCAATATTTATCATTTACTAATGTGAAACATTTAACTAGTACACTCATCTAAAGTTCTTGCCATGTTTTATCAGATTAAAAAATATTATTTTCACTGGCTTGATTATATCAGAAAGCTGGTATTTTTATGGGTAGCTTTAATTTCCTTCAGTTGGTTGTCTGGTCATTGTGAATATCACTTTATTTTCAGGTTTGGCCTCATAAGGACTATCCTCTTATTCCAGTTGGTAAACTGGTCTTAAACCGGAATCCAGTTAATTACTTTGCTGAGGTTGAACAGATAGCTTTTGACCCAAGCAACATGCCACCTGGCATTGAGCCCAGCCCTGACAAAATGCTTCAGGTAAGCCTGGTGGATTGAGATGTTCCAAGGCAGGTTCCATGGCAGGTATCCATGTGCACGCACACAATGTGCAGGTTGACACGATTCCTTATGTGAGGAATTAACTAGAACATTGCTTAAACTGTAATCTGGGTGTTTAGTTCCTCATGGGACTCACTGAGGTGAAACACCCTTAGATGGGCATTCCTTGCATAAACCAAGTAGAAGCTAAATTCCATAGTAAAGTGTCTGCATATGTGAAGACATGGATACTTAGTCTCTGAATTTTTAAAAATGATGTAATAGAAATGCTTTCAGTATTTGTAGAGTAAAGCATGGTTTGTTCAGTCTGTAACTAACGGGAGGGAATATAGTTAATTGATTATAATACCTTGGTCAGCATAACTTTATTCATTTATTGTTTCTTGATGCTTGAATATTTCCATCTGTGAGAAGAGATCTGAGGATGGTCTTTATGAACTAAATTTATGTAGCCAGGGATAAAGGCAGCAGATTTATTTAACAATTTGTCTTGGTAATGTTGCTAGGCAATCAGTGGGTTTTATGTCACTTTCCAATATGTTCTTCCAAGAGTGCAAAGAGTGAAAAATTCTACTTTGGACCAGAATCAATAGGAAAATAATTGGCTTAATAATTATCGTGTAAGTCAATCTTTCGTGTTTGTGGACTGGGACCATGAAACAAAGGTTAAAGATTATAGCCTCAATCAGACCACAGTAGCTGAGGGTGCTTCTTATGTAAGTATCTGATTCTAGTTCAGGTTTCAGTCTCCCTGGAAGACAAGTTAAGACTCCTATGGTTTTTTTCTTTGGAGACAGTCTCACTCTGTTGCCCAGGCTAGAGTGCAGTGGTGTCAGCCTAGCTCACAGCAACCTCAAACTCCTGGGCTCAAGCAATCCTTCTGCCTCAGCCTCCTGAGTAGCTGGGACTTCATGCCTGCGCCACCATGCCCGGCTAATTTTTTCCATATATTTTTAGTTGCCCAGCTAATTACTTTCTATTTTTAGTAGAGATGGGGTCTCACTCTTGCTCAGGCTGGTCTCGAACTCCTGACCTCCAGTGATCCTCCTGCCTCGGCCTCCCTGAGTGTTAGGATTACAGGAGTGAGCCACTGTGCCTGGCCATTTTTTTTTAAAATAACAGTTTTGTTATGACATTAGGAATATCCGAAGCCTCTATAGAAAGTAAGTTTTTAATTAGTTTGTAGTTAATTTAACCAGTATAAATTGAGTACCTGTCTATTGTGTGTGACAGACTGTCCAGGTTCTGTAACAAGTGTGCCATGCTGCATTAGAGTGCCATGCTGCAAGGAGGTTGAACAGGTAGCATTTGAGATAGGTTTTGAAGAATGCATAGGTTTTTGATTATCAACAGGTAAAATGGTGCAGGAGAAGGACATGAGTGAAAAAGGAAAAACTATAGTCACTCTCTCCTCAATGAGAAGGGTTGAGTTTGGACAGGTTCATTGGGTATATGTCAGAGGGGACCTTAAATGCTTGAGCATTTATTTTCTAGGAAAAGAACTTTTCTTCAATTTTGAGAAATGTAGTCTAATATATATATCACACAAATAGAATCACTCCTTGTGGTGATAAATAGAAAAAACAGGCACCTGGGGATTGGGAATAGAAGCAGAAGTCACATTAAAACTGGGGAGCAGAGGAAGCTGAGACAGTGACCTGGGCTGGGGTGGGGAACTTGCGGCCTCAGCGACACATGTGGGCCTACAGATCCCCAAGCGCAGCCCCTCGTTGGAACCCAAACTTCACAGAGCAAACCCCTTTAAAAGGATGTGTTCTGTAAAGTGTGGATTCAGTCAAAAGGCTGCACTCAAGGATCCAGAAGGCCACATGTGGCCCCAAGGGCGCAGGTTCCTCACCCCTCTCTAAGGCATCTGTTGAGACCATTGGGGAAGAGAATCCAGAAAAAGGATGACAAGTGGAAATCAATATAATTTCTGGCTGGATGCAGTGGCTCATGCCTATAATCCTAGCACTTTGGGAGGCCAAAGCAGGAAGATTTCTAGAGGCCTGGAGTTCAAGACTAGCCTGAGCAACAGAGTGAGGCCCTGTTTCCACAAAAAGAAAAAATTAGAAAAATTAGCAGGGCCTGGTGCACACCTGTAGTCCCAGCTACTCAGGAGGCTGAGGTAGGAGAATCACTTGAGCCCAAGAGTTTGAGGTTGCTGTGAGCTATGATGGTATCACTGTACTCTAAACCAGGCAACAGTGAAATCCTGTCTGGAAAAAAAGAAAAAAAAAATGTGTGTGTATGTATATATATATGTATATATGTAATTTCTATTGGCATTAATTTCAGTCTGGCAAATACATCTATTTTAAATTCAGTGTGTCTACAGTTTTGTTTGTTTTTTTTTAAGAATTTTTAAAAAGTGTGTGAAAGAGCTTTTGTAAGTTTTGCTAAGTTATTGTTTCTAGCCTAGCTTTTCCCATAACTTCTTAGGTCATTTAGGTATGAATTGTAATATCGTGGAGCATTTTAGGAGCCATACCACTGGGAAAGGCTGTTGTACTCATTTAGCTATTTGGTCACCCAGTGAGGCATCATTTAAGGTCTTCTGAGCAGGTAAATAATACAGTCTCAGTGGGGCCTAAGCAAGATTCGTTTGGTAGGAACATGTAGGTTGTATTGTTGGAGTAGGGAGTGGACATGGAGAGCCAGGTAGGAGGGCATCGAAATTATGATAAGAGCTAATGAGCATTGTTGCTTGGGTGGTGGCAGTCAGCATATTAATGGGCCGTGTTCTCAGTTGCCTTTTAACAAGGTCATGTTAATAAATTTTACGACTTTATCCAAAGTAGTGAGCCAGACCCTGATGAAATGGACAAAGTAGTATAATACAAGTCCCAGACTGTCACCTGAGTGTCCGATGATGCAGATGTCCTTTTTTTTACTCTCATACTCTGCACTTTGCCGCGAGTTGGAGAAGTTGGGCTGATGGCCAGAGTGGGAAAGGATTGTTCTGCTTTCTCACCCGGGTCCAGCAAGGGCGTTCAGGCTCAGGGCTTTGGGTAAGGCCTAGATTCAACTTGGTGTCAGGGTATGGCCTCGCTGTGCCCATTTCCCAACCTTTGTTGGTCTCCACCCATGGGTGGGGTAAGGTTGCCTGATAAACATAAAGTGGTACAGAATCAGAATTATCGAGGCTACATCCGGGCTCATGGTGCGATTGTATCTTCGATCCTGTTGATAGAGTTAAGAGCACAACTTTTTAAGCCGAAAGAGGCAACCAGCTGCTTCTAAACTGTGGGTGAGTGTTAGTCATGGCTGCATGGCCAGTCATCTCAATATGGCCTTAGACAACCTGACATGATTATGGGAAGTGGAGTCCAACAGCCAAGAACAAATCATTGACAGAACACTGGGACTGGAGTAAGCATATTGGTATGAGTGAATGGGTACAGAATAATTGCTTAAGTTGCCATATTTAATTTAGTTTTTATTTTGCCTCATAGAATTAGTGATGTAAGAATATAGTTTAAGGTTCAAGGTTGATGATAAAGTCAGTGAAAGAAAAATTCCTTATAGAGTAGAACTTTGAATAATGAGAATACTTAAGTAATTGGATATTAAAATTAACATAGAATTCATCATAAAGTTTTTTTGTTTCAGCATTTACTGAAAGAAATTTCAAAATGCGTGCCATCCTGCCTGGGTTCATGTGTAACATCATTTAATCTTGGATTAATTACCTTTGGCATTTGGCATTGTGGAGCCATCATTTTGAACGATAGCTTTTGTTTTTGTAGTACTTTGTTTACATCTAGAAAGTCTCAGAGCTCAGAGTATATGTGAAATAACTCAGAAGGCAACGTGCGAGGTGTTTCTTTGAAGAATTTCCTATACAGTTGGTTTTGTAGACGTTTTTGCTTTTTGTTAAGAGCAAATGATTGATTCTTTCCCTGGAGCAGAGAAATGGGGGGAGGAGTGGAATTAATTCAGGATTCATTCCAGATTTTAGCAAATTTATTTTACAATGTAATACTTCCTTGGGAATGGAAAGTAATACAGTATAAGGCAGGGCACTTGTTATTTGGGGTAAAAAAGAGGTGTTATTATCTAAAACAGATGTGAACATTTATGGTTGGCCATGTGGCATGGGAAATGAAGGACTGTCCAGTTAGGGAGAGCTCATTTCATAAGAAGAGACTTGACCCAGGCAGGGTTTTGTGGTAATCATGAATAGTCTTTGTACTTTAAATTCTAGAATGGAGTTTATAGCCCATTCTTATATCTTATTGCCCCCACTCAATATCTGTTGCATTTATTACTGTAGGGCCGCCTTTTTTCCTATCCTGACACTCACCGCCACCGCCTGGGACCCAATTATCTTCAGTTACCTGTGAACTGTCCTTTCCGTGCTCGAGTGGCCAACTACCAGCGTGACGGGCCCATGTGCTTTCAGGACAATCAGGGTAGGCCTCAAGACATTTGGCTCCCCTGTAAGGGCCGAGGGTGTGTGAGGCAGATGGGGTGGGACACCAGGCCAGGGCTTTCAAACTGGCCCCACAGAGCCTCCTGTTCTGCATGGGTGCTGTCCACAACCGGGAGTTTTTGCCCAGCAGTGAGGGTTTAAACTGCCTGATGACTCTCCATGTTTTTATCTATTTTACATATTTTATTGGGAGTTCCCCCTCAGATGTTACTTGCTGACCTCTGACAGTTAAAGACAGGGAGAAAGATCTTTCATGCTGGCTTATAGTAGAGCAACATCTTAGGTTTTAAAGACCCTTTGTAAATAAAATGGACAGTTAACTCACTCTTAAAGCAGCAAGACTTAGAAAGCCTTGGAAGTGCAAAACCTGAGTTCATGTCTTTTGTTTTTCTCTGCCATTCTGTTGAATCTGTGGGGGAACAAGTCTAGCTGGAATTTGGAGGAGGGATAGAGCAGGCTGGGGAGAGGGGATGGGGGCATAGAGCAAATCAAGGGATTCTCTCCCCATGTTTTGTTCCTAAATGAATGTGGTTGAGAAGGCATATAAATCAACTGGTAAGATGAGACTCCTGCATTTTGGTTTCTTGAAGCTCATTTATCAAATTTATGATTTTTTTCTTTTAACTGCTTTTTTAGGTGCATGTATAGACTCTAGTTCTAATTATGTATTCTAATTAATCAAACAGTATGCTTGATGAATGTTTTTTTCCTTTTATTCCACAGTTTATATTAATATAGATCATAGTTATTTTATTTTCCTGTTTAGGACACATGTGTTTTGGAAATAGTCTGCTTACATCAATCCCTTCAGAAATTTTACTGATGATGTACTTTTATAGCCATAGATGGCTCCATTCAAAGTGTATTTTTCTATAATAAAAATATTAATAACATGTGCCCTAAAGGAAATTTGGAACATATAGAGGGGGGAAGAGAAAAAAGAAAAACCCACTTATCTTCTCAACTTCCAAAGGTCACAACTATTACATTTTGCTATATTTCTTCCTATTCTTTTCTGTGAATATTTTTCATATACTTAAGATTATTTTGCATATATAAATTTGTACCTTGCTCTTGTTACCATTATCACTAAGCCTTTTCCATATATTTAACAAGTTTACATGTTTATTAATAATAATTATATTAGCTGGTTGCAATATTTCTGATCTCTGAGGTTTATAGAGGCATGAGGTGTGTTATTGCCCAAAATAATTGATACTTCCTGTGTCTGTCTTCTGCATTTTTATTCTTCTCTCTTTTTTTTCAATTCATATTCCTTGGTTGTCTTTTCTTTACCGAAACAGTATATAGCAGAGAGGTTCATGTATATTTTGAACTTCATTAATGAATATTGCTTCATGTGTACTGTTATTGTTCACCATTATAGTGGCATACTTATGAAAAACCTACTTAAGGATCTATTTTTACTTACTCTTTGTCTAATTTTAAAAGTAGAGCATTTAGGCTGTGCTCTTTTACTGAAATAGGCACATTTCAAAGAGTTAATTCTTAATACAGAAAGCACTGTGATGGCTGGTTGTTGGAGCATTTTAGTCTTCATATAGATGCGGTTGAACTAGGATGAATTTCTTGAGCTAATAGTTGAGCTCCATAAGTGTATAGTGTCCTCCCTTTCTCCGCCCCAGCCCACACACTGGTGCCTTGACCAATGAGATAGATAGGCATCTCTCGATTATCCACTGTAGATAATCTATTCTGGCAGGGAGTCGGATAAAATTCCAATCCCAGACTGGTTTGCTCAGACCATTTAATGTGTTTTTGGGCCACTCCTGTTAAGGCATTGTGTGGCCAAAGCAGAATATAGTTAGGAAAATAAAATGAAAAAAAAAAAAAGCCTCATAATTTATTTTGGAAGTCATATAAAATGTTTTGATTGTATTTTTTACTGTTTCTTACTGTAAGTCCAGATAAATGAGGGCTGATATACTTACAAATATCAAATTTTTAAAAAACCCCTTTTTATCTGTGGAGTGACATGAAAGTGAAGCTAGAATTGAATCAAGTCATCATCGTCAATAAAAAGAGAGATACCCTGGGAATCTTAAAAACATTTAAGGAATGGCGAAGTAAAGTTGTATAATAGAAGCACAGTATATGCTGGGCTGGAAGAGACAAAACCGAGAGTTCTAATCCCATGTCTACCACTAACTCCTGTGTAATCTCGCAGCAGTTAGCAATGCAGAACTCCACAGCTGTGTCTGTAAATTCAAGGAGCAGAGACAGAACTTTCAGGTCGCTCCCGAGAATTTTGTAATCCGGTGTTTGATGTGAACCCAAGTCCAAATGAAACCCTCGCATTTGAAAGGTGTCTTCAGGTCTCATCTCTACAAAGACTCACCAATGGCCAATGGTGCAACCTCGGGGAAAAAGATTAGCCAAGTCAGCCTGGCTCCATACCTCTAGAATCTGGTACAGCAGTTTTGAGAGAAGTAAAAAGAGGTCCAAAAAAGGAATACATGAGGAAAGAAGCCATAAAGGAGAGTTTAGGTCATGGTCACGGCAAAGCCCCAACAACGATAAAACAGAAGCTATGAGGCAGAAGTTCTGGTTCTGCTCCAAATCAAACCTACATAAATTTATGCTTATGCTGGCCAGCATCAGACGACATGATAGATTAGATCATTTGAAGAATTGAAATGGACTTTGAGATCTCTTTGTTAAGACTCCTAATGAGAATTGGGGGCGGGGTGGGGGGTGAAAGACAAAAAAAGACTCCATGAGAGCGTGTAGAAGACAGCAGTTTCCACTCAGCATCTCAGTCCTACTTGTAGTCAAATACGGGAAGTTGAAGATAACGTGTGTGTTGTGATTATGTCTGTGTATGCGTATTTGATTACCACTGAAGTTTATTTCTCACGACATTGACCATTTGCGGACTCGCGCCATTTTGCACGTCCCTGAGTGCATCTGTGGTTTTCCCTTAGGCGGTGCTCCGAATTACTACCCCAACAGCTTCGGTGCTCCCGAGCAGCAGCCCGCAGCCCTGGAGCACGGCGCCCAGTGCTCTGCCGACGTGCGGCGCTTCAACAGTGCCGACGACGACAACTTCTCGCAGGTAACGCGTCTTTGCTGCGGGAGTCACTGCCAATTGTCTTTGCCAGCGTCTGCATATTCTAGCACTCTCCAAGTGTCTAGTCTGTCTTTAATTGAGTTCAGGGAAGACTCATGTCTAATTGTAAATTGGGACCTTATTGGGTGGGGTTGAAGGGTTGTGTTACTATGCTCTTTTGGTTCAAGGCATGGAACTCGTCTTAGTTCTCCCCAAATTTATGGAAGGGGGTACAGGGAGTGGGGGCAAGGACTGGGGCAACAGTGATCTCATGGCAGTCTAAGAAATGAGCAAGTACAGCTTAGCCAAATCTAAGGATCTGGGCTGGACAGCCCAGTTCAGTGGGCCAAAACTGGAAATCCAACATGGCTCTAGGAGCCTTGGTGGCAAGGGTGTGGGCGTTTCCACTGTAGTCCGCATCAGTCACATGACTTAGCTACTCTCTGTCTGCTTCTGCTTTCCAATACTGATTACTTTTACCATGTCTTCCTACTTTTCTCCCCTCTGTCTCATAGCTTCTGTTTTATCATTGTTGGGTCTTTGCCATGACCATGACCTAACTCTCCTTTATGGCTTCTTTCTTTATGTATTCCTTTTTTTTAGACCACCTCTTCTTCTCTCAATACTTCTATATCAGGCTGGGCATGGTGGCTCATGCCTGTAATCCTAGCACTCTGGGAGGCCGAGGCGGGCCTGCTCAAGATCAGGAGTTCGAAAACAGCCTGAGCAAGAGTGAGACCCCCGTCTCTACTATAAATAGAAAGAAATTAATTGGCTAACTAATATATATATATATATATTTAATATATATAGAGAGAGAGAGAGAAGAGGAGAGAGAGAGAGAGAGAAAATTAGTCGGGCATGGTGGCGCATGCCTTTAGTCCCAGCCACTCGGGAGGCTGAGGCAGGAGGATTGCTTGAGCCCAGGAGTTTGAGGTTGCTGTGAGCTAGGCTGATGCCATGGCACTCACTCTAGCCTGGGCAACAAAGCGAGACTCTGTCTCAATAAAAAAGAAAATACTTCTATATCAGATTCTAGAAGCATGGAGCCATGTTGACTTGGCTAATTTTTCCTCCCAGGTTGCACCATTGGCCATTGGTCAACCTATGTAGTTAACCACCCTGGTCAAGTTCTTCTCTTTCTAGTCAACTGTGGCTGCCCTAAAGGCTCTTTTAAGGGCTCCAGGTGGGCAGCCACCTCATTAATGTGTCTACTGCAACTTATACCACACACAATAATGGATAAAGTTAAAAGTATAATTGTTTTAGAGCTCTGTTTGGGCAGTTGGTTTTAAATTTAGTAATGAAGTTAGAGTAGAACCTATTTCTAGTTTCTCAGTTTGTGAGTTCCAAGTAAAACATACTTAAATACATGAATTAATTCACTATGAGGATATCTTTAAGATATTTATGCATGTACAAATATATGTATATATATAAAAATTATTTTGTTGTAGGGTATAAACCATATTTACATGAACTTAAAACAGCTCCTCTAAGCTCTTTATATAACTGCATTATTTTTGGTGATGGCAGATGCAACCAAGCATATTACAGTTCATTCCCTGCCTTGCAAAGAATTTTTCTTGTGTCAAGTCAATATAGCTATTAAACCAGCCATACAACGCCTGTAAAAATTAATTAGATAATGAGGCTATTTGCTTATACATTAAAATGTACTACATGATCATTCTTATTTTATTTGAGAGATTTTCTTATCACTACATAGGACTCATGCTTTTTAGTCACAATACTGTTATAGGTTCACAGCATAATTTTGTAATGATAAGAGTCACATGGGAAATACATAGAAGGCCCAGATTTATTCTCCTAAAAATGATTCACTTGGACTTCTGTTGAAAAGCTAGATAAAATAGAAAAAGCATTTGTTTTAAGTCTTTGGAGAGTTAACAAAGAAACAAGGATTTAAGGGACCAAGATCAGGAGATCTTGGGTGGTGAGAGAGGAGAGTGACTCGGAACTGGCAGAGGCCCCTGTGGAGGGATTTCTGAGCTATGGGTGTTGTTCCATCTTGATCGGGGCGGGCATTACACAGCTGTGTTCCCTGAAAAGTCATTAATTTCACACTTAGCATTGGTGCCCTTTACTGTAGACGTGTTACACAACCTTCTTACTTTGTATTGATTAGGAAAAATGTCACTTTTCCTTTAAAAGGAGTCTGGTCCTGCCATTAAGGGTAAATGGTTAAAGTGCAGAGCTGATAAAGTGGCTCAGAATCGTTATCTGGTTAAAAAAAAACCAGAGCAGCTGTTATATTTGTGGAGACCATGCCCTGCTGCAATGAGTGACTAAGCTATATACAGATGGTAGTTTTTAGCCAGGCATAAGAATATGCAAGTCAGGTCACTGAGAAATCTTATGTACCTGGACTTTTTTTTTTAAAACCTCTTAATGCTGTAGATTAACCTTATCTCTGAAAGAGCAAGTATTTTATAGGGATGCTATTCTGTGATGTGTTGAAAAATATTTAACAGCTGGCTCTCTGGGGGAGAAAGCCCTGGTTTGTAGTGTTTGTCAATTTTCTTGGTAGAGATATTCCCCAGGGCTGCTTTCAGGCTACCAACACGATGTCACTGAATCTGTGGCATCGAGAATAAAATTCAATATCACTATTATATAGTATTTCCACCACAGAGTACAGAAGACATAAATAACCTCAAAAACATAGGCAATAGGTAATATGTATTAATTAGAAAGTGATGTTTTAAGTATTTATTACTTTCGTTTGAACTAATTAATTGAATTAATTTCTAATTAATCTATTTAATTAGAAATTTATGTGATTTAATTTTTGTAATGGCCATGTTTAACAACTTGCTTACAAAATCCCTGAAAATTTGGCAATTTTCTACTCTCAGGGGCAAGCTGGTTGTGACACTCCACTGGAATTGCAGGAACAAATTCTTGTAATTCAAGAATTGCAGGTTTAAGATGATCGAGATTGTAGATTGAGGTATACAATGAGATGCAATATTATAGACTGAGGTGATAGGAGGCCTTTTTTCTACTAACATAGACATGCTTGATTAAATATTTTTTAATTGATAGCTTAGAAAAATGACACATCTTAGTATTTTATGAATTTGATACCTTAGATAATTGAATATTGGACTTCACAAACAATAGAAGAGCAGTGCAAAGAACAGAGTTTGGCACATTATAGATACTCAGTAAATATTTGTTGAATGAATGAATGAAATGTTAGAATAAAATCATAGCTACAGGCCAGGCGCGGTGGGTCACGCCTATAATCCTAGCACTCTGGGAGGCCGAGGTGGGCAGATTGCTCAAGGTCAGGAGTTCGAAACCAGCCTGAGCAAGAGCGAGACCCTGTCTCTACTATAAATAGAAAGAAATTAATTGGTCAACTAATATATATAGAAAAAATTAGCCGGGCATGGTGGTGATGTCTGTAGTCCCAGCTACTTGAGAGGCTGAGGCAGCAGGATTGCTTGAGCCCAGGAGTTTGAGGTTGCTGTGAGCTAGGCTGATGCCCATGGCACTCACTCTAGCCTGGACAACAAAGTGAGACTCTGTCTCAAAAAAAAAAAAAAAAATCATAGCTACAACGTTTTAATTTCAGAATTGGGCAAAGGCTACTAGGATTCACATATCTGACACTAAACTTTTTTTATTTTCAACTATTTCAATTCATTTTAGAGGTAAACTCAATATAAACAAAGTATCACTGTTAATGTGTCTTGCCCAAGAAATCTCAAGACTTCCGAATAGCTACGAGAGTGTGTGTGTGTGTAAATGAATTAGGTTTTTTCCCTCCATGGTTCTGAATTGAACAAAGGTTGTATTGTGCCAAGTTTACATTTAAAGACAGCTTGCACATTCTGGAGTTGTCATTATTAAGGATGTATTGGGATTTTTATTTTATTTTATTTTTTTTATTATTTTTTTTTCATTGCTTTTTGATGTCTAGAGGGATTTTTAATGATATACCTATTTATAAGAGACTATAAGGACATTATTAAAAATTAAACAGCGGCTATGAGCTATTATCAACAAATGAATTCTTCCTGTTTTGCTTAAAACAAAACATATAGTGAAGAACTCAACACAAATGACAGTTTTAGTTGTAATTTAAAATTATTCTTAAATTAGGATCATTCGTTTCATAAGTGGCATAATAGGTGAGTTTTGTTTGTGATAAACTGGTTGATTCTCTTCACCCTGTCTTTCCCCGAGCAGGTGCGGATATTCTACGAGAAGGTGCTGAATGAAGAGCAGAGGAAGCGTTTGTGTGAGAACATCGCCGGCCACCTGAAGGACGCCCAGTCTTTCATCCAGAGGAAAGCGGTGAGTCTTTGTAAGCTGAAGAGCGACACCTGCTGGCCCGGAAGTCAGTGCAGCCCTGTGGGAAAAACCTTAAAATGAAGCACCATTTCGATTTTACTTGAGCTAAGAGGACTTAAAAAAAAAAATGGTAATAATCCCCAGTCAACCTCTGATTATTTTCTCTCTGTGTTTTGTCTGGTATGGTATATCCATAAGTCCTTAGCTGTTCGAGGTGCATTTTAACCTATGTTTAATTTGACTACAGCCAAGTTCTGTGCAAGATAGTAAATGGGTCCTGCTGCAATTTTGCTTAAACTTTGGATGATACGAAATACATCAGCTGAGTGCAGTGGCATGTGTACTTATAGTTATAGCTACTTGGAAGGCTCAGGCAGGAGGATCACTGGAGCCCAGGAGTTGGAGGCCAGCTTGGGCAACATAGCAAGACCCTGTCTAAAAAAAAAAAGTGCATGTATGTGTATGTATATTGATCTTATATTTTTGTGTTTTTAAGTCTGTCTAAAGGCTTAATAACATGATATCTTGATCCTCCTTCTGATGTAAACTAGAATTTGCATGATTTCTGGGGTAGAATTGAGCTGCTTCCAAAAGGCAGGCTGGACTTTTGAGCTAAGGTACTAGGGTATTTCTTATGGCCACTCATTGAGCTATGTGAAGCCCTCTCACTTCTGGCTTCCTGGCCTGTCCCAGGGCTAAGCTTTTTGCAAAGCTAGGAGTCCCACTGTTTCCTTTTTGTCTTTGATGGCTGCTTCTCTCTTCCTAGGGTCAGCCAGGCTAGCAGCTGTCGGGGATGTGTTCAAGGGCCCGGGTTCAAGTTCTAGCAGACAGCCCGGTGGCTGCTCTGTGTGATAGATGGGGCAGGTTTTATCCCATTTTACTAGAGAGACTGGGCAAGACAGCTTGCAAGTAGCGGAACTGGGCTCGAACTCGTGGCATTCTCCTTTCTTTTTTGTTGGGGTTTTAGGGTTTCCCGGGGTTTTTTCTTGGGACTTCTTGCTTGCCTTTTGCGGGTTTGCCCGGCGGTTGCCGTGTCTTTGCATACTTCACTGTAAATCCAGGCAGTGCCCAGGCCCAGTTTTAAATACAAATCACTGTAACTTGTTAGGTAATTATTCTGCGGTCAGCTCTTTACATGCAATAAATGCAGCTCACCTCACAGGCATTTTTCTCACCATACTCTGCGAGGCAGGTTGTGGGGTTTTGTGTTGTTTTGTTTTTTCACCAAGCAATTCTCTAATTCTGTGGCAGCAATTGAGTGTCCTGTAATTCAGTTCAATTCTGACAGTAACTCCTGCAGTTAGTGTCGGAACCCACCGATTTAGGGGTCAGCCCCACAAGACTGCTCCCACTTTAGGTGCCAAATGAAGTGCCCCAGCTACCCACACTTCTACAAATTCTGACTGCAAACTTAAAGATTGCCACGACCTTTCCTCAGGTTTGATAACTTGCTAGAAAAACTCACAGAACTCAGAAAAGTGCTTTACTTATTATGATCACCAATTTATTATAAAGGATACTACTTGGGAATAGGCAAAGGGAAGAGATGCATATGGGGAAGGGCTCAGGGCTTCCGTCCCCTCTGGGTACGCCACCTGCTGGCACCTTGATGTGCTCACCAACCCAGGAGCTCCCTGACCCTGTCGTTTCTGGGTTTTTATGGAGGTGTCCTTACATAGGCACGATCAATTAAATCATTTGCCATGGGGGATTGAACACAATCTCTAGCTCTTCCCCTGCCTGGAGGTTTGGGCATGGGGCTGAAAGTTCTAGCCTTCTAATCACATGCTTGGTCTTTCCAGCTCCATCCTGAAGCTATCTAAGATGCCCCCTATCCCATAAGTCATCTCAGTAGCATATAAAAGACAATACATTCTGAGGATTTTAGAAGGTCTGTGTCACGTATGGGGGGACAAAGCAAATATTGATTTTATTATACTACATAGGTATAATTATCATGCTCATTTATGGAGAGCGATGTTGAAGCTCAGAGAAGTTAAGTAACTTGTCTCAGATTGTTTAGCCCGTGTATGTCAGAGTTTTCACTGGACTCCCAAGTCTTACTTCGTGGTCAGCATTGTTTTTTATTTTAAAATTATTTTTTTCCCTTTATTTTCTTTTATGTTAATTCAGAGTAAGTGCTTTGAAAGTGGTCAGCATTGTTTTTTTTTTTTTTTTTTTTTTTTTTAATTTTTTTTTTTACGCGAATATCTCTATATATTATGTTCTTATTTTTTTTTTTTCTTAATTTTCTTTCTAATGCCTTTTATCGTCATTCCCAATTGGTCAGCATTGTTAACCACCCAGTGGCACTACCTTCTCCTGGAAGGTCCTTCCTCCCCTACGGAATAAACACTGTGACACAGAGATACCGGGGAATGGCATAGCGGGGGGTTAGGGTGATGCTTACATTTATTTTCGTTTGGCTTTAGGTCAAGAACTTTGCTGAGGTCCACCCTGACTATGGGAAACGCATCCAGACTCTTTTGGACAAATACAACAAGGAGAAGCCCAAGGTGAGCCCGGAGCAGCCTGGCCATGACAGAGGCCGTGTGTGCTGGGTTAGATCAGGCACTGTTTGCTGTCCATCTAGCATTGTCCTCTTCAGGGGCCATTACCTGCAACTATTAGATTTCTTAAGCAGTTGTTCAGAAACTCATTTGTGTTATAAAGAACTCACCTGCAAAAGATATACCCTTCATTTTGGCTCTGGACAATATAAGACAGTTTAAAGTGAAGTGAATGAATTCTGAATTATTATTTTCATTTGGTTACAAATTTAAAACCAGGAAAATACCCGAGTTGCTGCTGTCTGTGAGTTAATTAACCTGTCTTGTTCTCTTAAAACAGAATGCGATTCACACCTATGTGCAGCCTGGCTCTCACCTGTCTGCAAGGGAGAAAGCTAATCTGTGAGGCCAGCGGGCCCGTGCCTGGCCAAGGAGCTCTGTGCCTATGAAGCAGCAAAGCTTTGTGTTCACACGTGTAACCCACTCATCCCTGGAGAGAAGATTCTCTTGTGCTAGATGTGCAAATGCAAGCTAATGTCTTTAAAGTGATAATCCAGGTTTCTATAGCAAATAAGGTAATGACTTTTAATACTATTTCCCTAGGGGAAAATGAAGGTCAGGGCTTAACAATCACTTAAAAAAACATGTACTTGTTTTTGGCGGTTGGATTATTCATTTAAAACGACTAGGAGGAGTTTCTAATTACTAAAAAGTTTCTAATTACTAAAAATATGATTTTATTTGGTAAGAAAAAATCATGGTGAAATTAGCATGTTTACATATCACCTATAGCCTATTATATAAAAATATGGCTGTAATTGTACAAGAAGAAAAGATAATGATGATCCACTCAGAATTTTTATTTTTCTAAGGTTCTTATAGGAAAAACACATTTAATGCATCAGTGTATTCAGGAAATAACTTTAGCACCATCATGGCTTACTGTTTATTTCTGTTTGTAATTCATCAGGTTCAGTTTTTTTTTCCCCACTTGGAATTACATTTATGCGAATTCAGCATTGATTTTACAACAGATTGATTTGTGATTACATATTACATTTTTACAATAAAATCTGTATGTAAGAATAGAAATGGTATTTGATTTCTTTTGACTCCATATATAACTTCGAAAGTACCATCGAACTCTGAATTTGAACATCATCTATTTTCAGATGCTTACCCTTAAAAATGGGAATACCTTTATTACGAGGTTACTGTGTTACTTGTTTAAATCAATAGTCTTTGGATAGCCTTCTGAGATGCTGAGAAAATAGCAAATGCCCTAACTTTGGAAATTACTTAAATCTCTTGCCCATTAGCTCATTTACTTTGGATTGTGAGTTTTTAAAATAAGAGCTCAGAACCACTAGTTATTTTCTTTCTTCTTTTTCTTTAAGCCCATATTTGCCTATCATGCTTGAAAATCACATGGAAGTAATTAAAGGTAAATTCTGAATACTGAATCAAAACCTATTTTTTTTTTTGGCATCCCTGGGTGGGCCTGAATGAAACCTATTTTTCTTGAAAATCTTCATCTTCAAAACCAGTTTGTACTTACTCTCAGGAATTTCCTGAGATGTAAGCTTCAGGAAACCATTAGACCATTAGTAGACATATACAAACTCTCTATCTTATAGCTTAAACTTCTTTACTCTCCTATCAAAAACTCTCCTGCCTAAATTCCTTCTGTATTTGAGTATGCTTTGAAACTTACATTTGTAGACACAGAAAATAGATTTACCCATTTGCACCCAATGGTGAATATTTTTAATATAGCAACAACTTTACTATAGTTATATCTCTTTATAAAAATTAATATAATTTGACAATAGGGAGGGAGATTATTTATTTGAATATTGGTTATACACATAAAGACAAAGTTTTTGAAATAGTTTTCTGTTTGTTCTATTTTGTGGTTTAAAAATAAGTTGGTGAAAATCACATGTATCTAACCTGTTTCCTGTATGTAAATATCTGACACATGGAAGTATCCCCAGTTCTGCTCTTGAGATTTCTGATTGTGATTTTCAAAGATAAATACTATGGGGTTAACTTCCTCCAGTTAGGTCTTACTTCCCGAAAGATACTATCTAATTATGTTCCTCTAAGTGACATTAAGATACATCCTAAGAGTTTGAGTCAAATTTATAAGGAGGATAAAAATTTATAAGGAGAATAAAATTTATAAGGAGGATAAAATTAGTGAGAGTCAGAATATTAGAGACAGACAGAATATTAGAACCAGACAGTCCCAGATTCAGACTCAAGCTCTGCCATTTTCTCTCTGTGGGAACTTGAGCAAGTTACTTTCCTCCCCTGAATATTATTAACAGTTTTCTTATCTCTAAATGGGAAGGATAATTATTGTCGTTAACTCCCTAGGATTGTGTGATGATTCACTATATTTAGAAATCTCCTGATTTCTAAATAAGGCAATTGATGGTAAGAAATGAAACAAAATCTCAATAATGAGCAAAAAAAAAAAAAAATAGTGTGTATACCAAATAAAAATGCATCTGTAGGTCTATGCTGCCCCAATGAACTCCATTTATCTTATGATACTAATATTAAAGGTGGTGAATAGTATTACTCCATATATTTCTTGCTTCTTTTTAGGCTCTTTAAAAATCTCCAACCTCCACCTGCTAGGAAATGGAAGGGTCATCAAAGGTCTTACAGGTTGTCAGTGCTTTGCTGATAGAGCCTACCGTGCTGGATTGAATGATACAGACTCAGTTGAACATGTTAAATATTTTATTCACATTGTTTACAAACTATATCCACCTGGAAAACACATGAGTCCAAAAATAGATTATTTTACAGCAATTCACATTTTTAAAAACAAGTTACTTTTGAAGTTAAGCTCTAGGTGTGGAGGCCCTCAGCCCGTGTAGCGTTCAGTGCCTCGTCACGTGAGGATTCCTGTGGTGTGAAGTCCTAGGGGCAGTCCACCTGACTGTAGTCACTAATTACTGACACACCATGACTGCTGAAAAATGTCAGTGCAGACTTTAACCCGTGAACATTTATTGGTGTCAATTCACTGTCGCTAATTTTGTCAAGGAAATATGTGTTTTAGCAATCTGAGTACACATCAGGTAGGAAGACAAAACAAAAGAGGCTCACAATTTAATTGGCCATTACAGAGTTGTTGGGACATTTCCAGTTCTGTAGATATTTAACTTCTTGACCACAGACGGAATCAATGAATTACAATTTTATCGTGTTGATAGTTTGAATCATAGAAACAGCAGTGGTTTGGAAATTGATACATGTGTCTGTTGACTGACTCTTTGCATATCTTATGCCAACCATCAGTTAGGAGAAGAGAGGAAATAGGATCAGCAACAATTAATAGTGTGGCTGATTTTACGTGTTTAGCTCCAGAAGGATGGCCATGGGAGTTTTGCTAAATGGTCAAAAAGATGCTCTGGTTAAGAAACTTACTGTTAACCTGTAATAAATCCAATTCTATCCCAGCTTGATGGCTTAGCTCTTTTATTAAGACACTTTTCTATGGAATTTGAGTTTAATGATTTAAAATCTAAAGTATATATGTCTTACATTTCACCCTCCTCTACTTATAAACTACAAAACTAATCATGTTTGGTTTTTTTTTTCCCCCTTTGTGAGCTGCCACAGTTAACCATTTGAAAACATTTGAACCTTTGGAATAGAAATATTCGATGTGTCTCTAAGGGCAGAATTGAATTGTTTTCTCTGATCAGCACCGATGGCATTGGCTATTGTGGTTCTGCAACTCTGGGTTAGGGAAATAATGTTTGATCAAGGTCCCATAAAGCATCAATCCCCTCCTCCCCTTAGGGGGGAAAAGGATTTCTTAAGGGTTGCTGCCATCACCCCAAGTAGATAACAACTCTGAATCCAAACGGAAGCTGAGATGTGGAGAAATGTTATCAGCATGTTTGCAGGTTTTTTTTAAAAAAAGAGGACTTTCAAACGTCTGTTGCAATCTGATTGTTTTAAAAGACAGAAATCCATAAAATGAGCTTGATGCCTGGAGCCGATCATAGCTTGTCTTCCTGCCACCCATGTGCATTTTTTCCAAATTTGTACACTAACCTTCGGTCAACCCGTTCCAAAATTCCCGTTTTATAGTAGTATCTGTGAAGGCAAGCAGAAGAGGGAGGGTTTGCACCTCAGGAAAACAACGTGAACGTAAACACTCTCTCCTCATTCCTCTCAGGTGACAAGGCTGGTCTTTGGTTACGCTGGTATTTTCACACCCTGTTATCAACTTACACTTAAACCTTTCCCAGACATCTTGAAGACTGAACCTCCCCATTCTCAGCTCAAAACGTGTTTTGTGTGTGTATGTGAGATGGCCTGGGTGCAGGGTGATCCCTGGGGAATGTGCCAAGAATGGAGAGGACAGCGTGTCAATTTACAAACTGTAATCCCCCCTGGAACCAAGAACCAAAGTTCCGTCTCATGACCTTTCGATTATCAAGTAAAAAGCTGCAAAAACAGTGCAGTTTTCTATGGCCGGCCATTTTATATAACTCTTCTGGTAGGCTCATGGTATTTCATGCTATTAACTTACCTCAGGGCTCTGCTCAACTTCTCGTACGTCATTCTGTCGTTTTTCTTCCTTTGGCCCCACATCTTTGCCAGGGCTTCTGATTTAACCACCCGAAAAATACCTTGTTCCCTGTCTTCCCATTCCAGAATGCCACAGTTTTCCTCAGGAGATAGAAGGAGGTCTCGCACAAATTCCCATAGATGAGAACTTTGGAGGCCTTTTGAAAAGGGGAAAAAATTAGCCACTTAAAATATACGTCTTTTTTAACTTTTAGAGAAGAGTTGTACATCTCATTAACCCATGAGGATTGCTGCTTTGTGGGGACATTTCCCATAATTATGGCTGAGTGCTCTACCTGGAACCTTACCAAGATGTGAAATGTCTGTTTTCCATTAAAGTAATTGCAAAACACACACAGAGACACCAAGTTTATATTGATGGGCAGTACTGTGGCTCACAGATGTTCTATGGAACTATAGATGAATTCTTGTAGAATGAATGAAATGACAGTCAAGTGGTCTTTTCATTCTTTCTGACAGGCAGTGTGGTTGTACTAAGATCACATAGCCACAACTGTGGACCGATCCTGCAAGTTTTGTTTTCCACGAAAATCTCTTGTTCTATGACATGGGGGTTAGGGCCAGCTCTGGTGACCCACTGGCTGAGTTTGGGTCCTGAATTCACCTCTTCTTCCTTCTGTAACCACAATCTCTGTAGTTACTTTATCTGTAAAATGGGATAATAAGCATACCTATCTTATAGGAAAGATTTCGTGATTTAATACATACCAAGGGGTTAGAACCATGCCTAGCATGTAGTGGTTGTTTTCTACACACAAATTTGTGAACTTGCAGGTTTGACCCTGTGCTGTGTGGATTTCTTAGTGCAGGAAAAGGCTAACAGGATTGCCAACTCTAGGTGTTTCCCTCACTATCCTTCCCTGAGCACTTCAATAAGAGGAAACTGCAATGGACCAGGAAAAATAAACCCTTATTCTGAAATATAACATGGTGCAGAAAATTTCCTTACTT